TGAGTTTGTTTAGAGACCACACTGATATGAATTAGGAATTTAGGGTATACTACTACATAGCTAATAAGGGTCCTCAAAAATTTATGTGCTATCAGGAACCACAGCCATGTCTGGCCAAATTTTAGAGTTTTTCTCAATAGAGAGTTACAAAATCTATTGGAAAGGTCCAGTATTAATATCTATCTGGAGACTGCTGAAAACAAATGGCTCTTTAGTTCTTGGTAAGAACAGAGAATACTGGGCCAGATTTCTGGCCCTTAAGAAATGTGGCGTCTGATTCCATCTGGCAGGAAGTTTAATCTGGTATGGAACTTTAGCCAGACTTCTTAGAGAAATATTTTTTTAAATGTAACACATCCAAAACTTATTGCAAGAAGTGGTGTCCATTTAGTCTATCTATTCTATTAATAGTCATTTAAATACTTTGTAAATATTCACAGTACTGTTTTCAGCAGCATGTAATAAATGCTTGACCTTTTGGTTCCTGGATGTGTGGCCATAAACTTTTATGTAAAATAGGGGGAAGTTCATTGTAGTCTGCTGTTTTTTTAAATTGCAAGCAGAGAAGCAGTAAGTGCTACAGTTTCCTAACCAACTACCAAACAGTAAGTTTTCTTTTTCCTTGCAAGTTATTGTATAATTTGCCTTTAAGAATATGGCACCTTCTGTAGTATACAGAACACTTGGTTCAAGATGAAACACCTCATTTAGAAAAGGAATATATGGAAAAGAATTTCAGACAGGAAGGCAGAGCAGTATAAGAGAAAGGTTGACTTAGGCAGACTGAAAGGAGCCTTCTACTTGGCAAAATGATACCTAAAGGCAGGGCGTGATAACAGTTCACAAATATTTGAAAGATGGAAAGACCAACGGGGAGGAGGTTATTTTGCTTACTTATTAGAAATAATGGAAAGAAATATAGAAGGAAAATTTCAGACAGAATCAGTTGAATTTCCTGACAGTAAAAACTGGTCATGAAAGGACTGAAAACTCCAACCACAGAGAAGTTCCTAAACAAATCTGGCAAATCAGAGCATTTCATTATGGAAGATGTACCTTGACAGTGGCAGAAAAAGCATCTGAACAGGAGATAATATTTTATTAACAGTCACTGTTTTGAGGATTTCTCCTCTTTCCATTTATCAAAATATTTCTTCTGTGTATCAGAAAGAAGACTTTGACATGTTTTTATATTTAGTTGCATATACCCTGACTTATTAGATATCTTCAGAAGAAACAGAAAGAAATGAGTATTCAGAAGCTTTTAAATTTCCACAGTGTAAAAGTAGCCTCACTTTTTGTTTGTTCATTTTTTTTTCTTTTTAGTTTGCATTTTATTTAGCTTAAGTTAGTAGATCTGAAAGCCAAATGGTAGCTGCAGTATAAGAGACAACTCTCACTGGAGTTGCGACCTGAAGGCCCAAGTTTGAATTCTGGCTCAAGTACATACTCATTAGCTGGTCACCTGAGCAAGTTACTTATCCCCACTGAGCATCAATTTCCTAAAACTTGGAAATTTTAGGAATAAAAGGGGACAATAATCTCATCATGCTTGGGAAGATTAAGTGAAATGATGTGTGGGAGAATTCTGTTGTAGTATGAACCAGTTTTAGTTCTGTATGTGTTAGGTTTTTATTGCCACTGTGACACATTACCACTAACTTAGTGGCTTAACTTGACACATATTTATTATCCCACAATTCTGTAGCTCAGAAGTCTGGGTGGGTTCAGCTGGTTTCTCTGCTCCAGGTCTCATCAGGCAGAAGCCAAGGTGTTGGCTCCCCTGAGCTCTCATCTGGAGGTTCTGGGAGAGGATCCGCTTCCATGCTCATTCAGGATGTTGGCAGAATTTGGCTGCATGTTGCTGTGGAACTGAAGTACCCGTATCTGTGCTGGCAGCCTGGGATTGTTCTCAGCTTCTAGAGGCTGCCTACATTCCCTTCATCTCTAAAGCTAGTCAAGTCCTCCCATTTCAGGTCTCTTTGATCTACCCTTCTGCCTCACCTCCTTCCTCCAGCCAGGAAAATTCTCTGCTTTTAAGAGCTCATGTGATTAGGTTAGAATCACCTGGTTAATCCAGGATAATCTCCCTATTTTAAGGTCTATAACTTTAAAACACACCTGCAAAGTCCTTTTTGTCATATAATGTAACTATTTACAGGCTCTAGGGATTAGCGTATGGACATCCTTAGTGGTTCATTCTGCCTACTACAATGATCCTATTTTAGGGCTAGAAAGGACAGAACATGAAATGAGGTTCTTGCCCTGGAGGGTTTACAATCCAGGGGGAAAGAGATGAGAAACATAATATTCAGCAAGAAAAGTCCAATAATAAAGAGTTTGCATGGAATGTTATAGGAGCGCAGAAGACTTTTTCTGTACCTGACTTGGCCTGTGGTATTTTTCATCATTCCCTGCTTGTCCTTTGATGTTTTTTTAATTAAGATCCTTCAGATGGAATCCATATATACAGAAACCACCATGCAATTTGATTTCTAAATGTCCAGAAAATTAAGCCGCTGTGATAGATCAGTATTTACTTTGCTACTTCATAAGGAAAGATCTAGAGGTTTTGAGTAAGAGGAGTTATTTTCTTCTCTGATGATGAAGTAATGTAACACCACTTTATCTCCCCTTACCTTGGTCCTGATTGCCTCTTTGTCCTCATCAGCTCCATCTTGAGAGCCTTCTAGTCCTTCATTCCCAGCTCCCTCTGCCCCATGTACATCTTACTCCTCCCTTCTTTCTAGTTTTCTTGTTTTGTATTGTCTTGAATTAGAAGACACTTACGCAGGGCCATGTGGAGGTTTCTGTTTAATCCTTGCCACTTGTCCTTCCTGCTTTAACAATATTTCCTGGATGTTTAGTCATATCTCAGTGATACTTTTGTAATAATATCAGCTGCCATTTATGGAATGCTGACCATGTGCCAAAGGCTGTGCAGAGTACTGTACTTCCATCTTCTCTTTTAATTTAGACATTCTGTGAGGTATAGGTAATATCTTCATTTGAACCCAGCTGGGATTTGAACTCAGATCCAAATTCAAAGCCTTTACTTGACACCAGACACTACAGGAATAGCAGGAGCTGGAAAGACGGGCAGCATGAAGGCACCAAAGCAGCAGAAGCAGATTCGGAAAACTTAAGTCTCAAATTCCAATCCGTCTTTACAGCCCTCGTGCGGGTTAGAGGATCTGCTTCTAGAACACCAGGATTGTCTCCATTTTCCACTGGAAACACTTAGAGTGGTTCAGACAGGTGATCTGAGCTTGTGCCTACAGCACTGGGCCGCCACAGAGCCTGTGTGAGCCCTAGCTTGGCAACTCACTGAAGAGCCTACTTCTCTGAGGGGAGGGGATGGGGTAGGCGGGGCATGTGGTGTGTCCTATGGCTGGAGAATACCTTCCCTACCAGGCTGCAATGATTAAAATCTTCGCAAATTTAACACAGTAGGCACTCAGCATATGTGCTGGTTCTCAAGTCCTTCAAGAAGGCTGTCTTTAGTTGATGTGTATTCAAACAGTAGAATCTTGCTTTTCTAGCTCCACTTGAATCCAGACTTAATGTTGAGAAGACATGAGATGCAACTCTGTGTTGGCTCCTGTCCAATCCTGTGAATCATACCAACTCTCATAAGTTTAAGCTCAGAGAGAACTGGAATTTGAGGCCAAAGAAGGCAAAAATATTTCCCTTTCCCATTCTTGAGTTCTTGATGTAATGGAAACAGACAGTCCTGGATTCAAATCCAGGCTCTGCACTTACCTGCTTGTTACCTGCTGATCTCCATCATGGAAAGACCTCCAGTTATGGGGCAAAGTACACCTGGCCATTTTACGCAATCATTTATCCTTTCTAACGATGTTTCTGTATCTGCCAACAGAGGCAATAGCAGTTCTTGTCTTACAGGGTTGTTAAGGTTAGAGAGTAATGCACGTGGTACAATCAGGATCCAGTAGCAGCCGCAGTGAAAGCTCTGGAGCCTGTACATGAGCTGTTCATTCATTCAGGGCTCTGGAAATTGAAGTTGAACAAGTAGTCCCAAATTTGAGTTACTTATCCTTTCCCCTCTGCAGCAGGAGGGCAGCCAGGTAAGGTAGCGGTGGGTGCTTTGCCACAGGCCAGAGCAGGTATGGGGGAGAGTCTTGCTAGGCAGTGGAAGGGCCAAGTACCACCTAACCCAGCCCGATCGTATTCTGCCGCCAAAGACCCTGGCGCCAAACAGTGTTGCTTCAGCTGCTAGTAGTTAATACTCCTTGACTTGGAAACGTCCTCAGCTCCTGGGAGCAGTATGGTGCCACGAGGGCTCACGGCTCACCCCCTTAGTCTCTCTGCGACTGGGATTCCCAGGCACCCTACTCTCAGCCCAATTTATCGTCCTTCAAGGCTCACCAGGCTGTGGGCGCAGGGCCTGGGTGTGGGGGTGGAGGGTTGTGGGGGGGGGAACTTTTCCGGGAAGGGGCACAGCAGTGCCTTGGCTCGCTGCCCAGTTAGCCACGGCCCAGGACCCCAAGGTAGGAGAGTGAACGGAAAGGTACTCTTGCCTGGAGCGGTTGCAAAATCCTCTGCGGGGAGGGAGGTAGAACTCAGACGCACTTGGTGGAAGGGGCCCTCTCTCCCGCCCGCCCTTCAGGTGCTGGGGCCTGGAGGGGGTCCGGTTCCACTTGGGAAAGCTGGGAACTAGGAAGCGTCGCGGGCTAGGCACCCCGCCTTCCCAGTCTCCTAGAGAGGGGTGGGGGCGTGGTACGGCGGCCCCGCCAGGGCGGAGAGGGGTGAGGGGTCTGTGCGGCGCCTCTTCCTCCGGGGGAAGTGGGGCTCAGACCGGTCCAACGCTGGGAGGGGCAGGCCCTCCCTGGCCCGCGCCTGCCGGGACCCTACGCCTGTGTCCGGAGGAGGCCGGCGTCCAGCAGATGCACGCGGGGGGGTGGGGGCGGGGGAGAGGCGGGGAGGAGAGAACCCACAACAAAACTTGCGTCGGTCGCCGAGCGCACGGCTCGACTTGAATGGAAGGAGCCCACGCCCGCGGAGCGCAGCCGAGACTCTGGAGAACGCGGTCGGCCGGCGGGGCGCAGCAGGTACCGGGCGCAGGCGGCCGGGTGGGCCGAGGGCCGGGACCTGGCTGGGCAGCGGACTCGGACTTCCCGCCCTGGTGCGGTGGCCCCAGCAGCTGGCCAGGCGGGGCCACGCATCTCGCCCCCTCAGTCAGAGCCCTACGCGGAGGGCGCAGCCGAAGAGATCTGCCTCAGGGGGCGCGACCCTCCGCGATCCCGAGCCGGCAGGGGCCTGTTCTCATCTCCGGCGGGAGGCTGGTCCCAGCCCCGGCCCCTCCCGCTGCGCACATCTGGAAAGAATCTGCGGGCGGATGGGAGGGGGGAGTGGAAGGACGCGGGCAGGCGACGGGGAACGCAGGGGGCAGGTGGAGCCCGGGAGGGTAGAGTCCTGTACTTGGAGCCTGATCGCTGAGCATGCCCGTGTTTTTCCACGTCAGATCATCCCAGGTAGCCCACTCTTCGACCCCTTTACAGACAGAGAAACTGAGGGCTGTAGCGGGGCAGAGATCTGCTCCCAGGACGCGCGGACAGGTGAGGCGGAGCCCGCGCGTCCCTGTCCCAGCCCGCTCTGGGCTTGACTCCTCAGCCCCGCGCCGCGCAGTCGCGGAGCCAGAGCTCTCAGCTGGGGCCCTGGTGTCTGTTTGTCTATCCGGGTGCCTCCCCGCTGGGACCGCGGGACTGAGAAGGGGGTTGGGGGATAGCGGCGGAGTGCAGTCAGGGGCGAGGCCGGCGCGCCCCGGCGGAGGCGCTCAAAGCTCCCAGGCTGCAGGTCCTTAAACCTCCAGGCTGGCCTGGGCGGGGGATGCGATCCGGCATTAGAATACCTGATGCGCCGTCAGGTGGAAGAGGGGGTGGCGGCGAGCTGCTGGTGGCCTCCGGGGCTGGGGCTGAGCGGTAGCTGCAGCCTGAAGTTCAGGAGAGGAGCAGACGCAAGCGTGCTTGCGGCAATGATCGTCCGGATCCGAGTCTGGGATGCACAGAAGGATGCGCACCCTGCACCTTGCAGAGCATCACGGAAAGATGGAGGGCCACACAAACTGGAGCGTCTACTCTTGGACTTCAGGCTGGTCCTGGAAAGTGATGCTGTGGTCAACCCAGCTACAGAAGGCCCCACTGGGAGCCCCTGGGAGGTCATGTCCCCTTTTAGGGTCCAGGGCCAGCCTATTCAAGTTAAGAAATGTCAGATTCACATGAATGCTTTCATGAAATCTTGAGGGAGCATCTTTGTCCCTTCTATCTGAATCTTGGGACAGGGGTGACTTAATGGTTTCACCTTTAGGCCTGGTAGAGTCCTGTATAAGAGCTCTGACCATGATCTGCTTAGAACCCTTGATAGCTCCCTATCAGCAACCCTTTAAGTGCCTGATGCCCTTGGAAACTTGACTATCCCTTTCCTGTTTACCCTTCCTTAAACACACCTCCCTCTTTACCCTCCGCACATTGTGCCTTTGCTCATGACTTGCCCTCTGCCTTGAGTGCCGTTTCCTCCCCTTCATCCACCAGGAGAATTCCCTACTCAGTCTTCAGGACCGGCCCAAAGCTCTGAGCAGGAGTCAGAAGACACAAAATCTAATCCTGGCCTTGCCTTTAAAACACTAATCAGTAAACTGAGGAAATCAGACAGATAATAATATTGTAGATCTTTCCAACTCTGCCTTTCACAAACACATTCCTTCATTCAGCAAACATTTCCTGAGCACCTGCTCCTTGCCTAGGGAGTCAGGGAAAGCTCAGCTGAGCCCTGAAGGGAGCTGCGGGAGCATCACAGAACTCCCTAACCCAGCAGGAGCGGCTTCCCAAGGCAAAGGCATCAGAGTAGCAGCTTGCTGGGGATGGGCAGCAGTGGGAGCTTCTCTGTGCTTTAGCTTTCTCCTCTGCAAAGTAGGAAGACTAACTCTTAGTCTTGGGATTTCTGTTGTGGTCAGTAAGATACAGCTGTTGGGGCCCAGCACAGAGCAGATGCTCAGCAAATCTTTACTGAATTTGAGTGGAGGAGGGAGGTGGTGCTGGGCTGAGGATTGACCTCCTGATTTGGATCTCCCGTCACCTTCCTTCTTCTAGTCCTGCCTTAACCCCTCATTTAAGCAGTTCTGGGCCTTAAGGTTTGGTTCCGGGGGAGTGGGGGAGGGTAGGGGTGGGTTCCAGCTATTTCCACAGTAACAGTAACCCCAAGTATGTTGCACTTGCTGGGTGCCAGCATCAGCTGGGCACGTCTTTTCACTGACTCCTCATGAGGAGCTCTTATCTCATTGCCTAGACTAGTAAACAGAGGCTCAGAGCACTGAAGCGACTCATCCAGCAGTTCAAATTGGAACAGCTCCCACAGACTGAACTGTCCCTCTCGCCCAACAGTGTGAGCTCTGCTCATCAGGACAGCTCACTCTGGGGACTTCCAAAGCCTCGAAAGGCTGTTCTTCCACACACAGCTCCAACATGGCTCAGCACAAAAGAGGGACTTGGGGGCTTATCTTGCTCCACATTCTTAGAGAGACAAAACAAAAAAATTGAGACTCAGATGGGTCAGTGATGTCACCAAAGTCACAAGCAAATGAGGTGGTGGAACTGGAGCTACCCAGGATCCCAAGGCCCTGAGGGTGGCTGGCCAAGCTGGAAGAAGGGGGACCCAGAACTGGGGCCACCACTCTCCAAGTCCTGTCAGTTACTGCTCCCACTCCCTTGAAACCACCTCTTCCTCTCCATCCTGCAGTTCAGCAGCTCCTTCCACCTAGACCAGTCTTATTACCCCTTGCCTGCAGCACTGCACAGCCTCTGTGAGCTCCCTGCTGGTCCCTCCATAAGCCTGCCTATGCCACACTCCAGTTCTTCAATAACCTCTCATCTCTCCAAAGATAAGGGATACTCTTCCTAAGCTAGCTTTTGACTTTTTTCTTGGCTTGGACCATGGCCATTGCCCAGTCCTCCAACCCCCACCAGACCCTCTAGTGAGCTTTGTAGAGGTCACATGGGTGCTCTTGCCCCAGGGCCTTTGCACACACTGATGCCTTTGCTTGTATCACCCATTTCCTTTTGCCTGATAGTCATCCTTCATGGCTAGATAAAGCATTGCTTTTTCTTGAAGTCTTCTTGGCCTCAGACATACTTAGGCCTCCTCTGGGCCCCTGTGGACTCTAGGTTCCCTCTATCACACCTCTGATGACAGTGGTATTATAATACTCAATTTACACAAAATGTCTAGACCAGCGCTGACCAACAGAAATATGAGAACCACCAATGTAAGCCATGTGTGTGACATAAAATTTTCTAGAAGTCATGTTAAAAAGAGTAAAATGAAACAGGCAAAGCATTTTTTAAAAAGTAATCAATTTATTTTTAACTGGAGGATAATTGCTTTACAATATTGTATTAGTTTCTGCCATATAGCAGCATGAATCAGCCATAGTTATAAATATGTGCCTTCCCTCTTGAACCTCCCTCCCACCTCCCACCCTGTCCCACCCCTCTAGGTAGTCACAGAGAACTGGGTTTGAGCTCCCTGCGTCATATAGCAAATTCCCACCCTGACATCTATTTTACATATGATATTGTATATGTTTCAATGCTACTCTCTCTATTCATCCCATCCTCTCCTTCCCCCACAGTGTCCACAAGTTTGTTCTCTATGTCTGCATCTCCGTTCAGTTCAGTTCAGTTCAGTTCTGTTGCTCAGTCATGTCTGACTTTTTGCGACCCCATGAACCGCAGCACGCCAGGCCTCCCTGTCCATCACCAACTCCCGGAGTTCACCCAAACCCATGTCCATTGAGTCGGCGATGCCATCCAGCCATCTCATCCTCTGTCGTCCCCTTCTCCTCCTGCCCTCAATCTTTCCCAGTGTTAGGGTCTTTTCCAATGAGTCAGCTCTTCATATCAGGTGGCCAAAGTATTGGAGTTTCAGCTTCAACATCAGTCCTTCAATGAACACCCATGACTGATCTCCTTTAGGATGGACTGGTTGGATCGCCTTGCAGTCCAAGGGACTCTCCATTACTATCCTGCAAATAGGTTCATCAGTACCATCTTTCTAGATTCTATATATATGTGTTAATATATGATAGAAACAGGCAAAATTTTAATAATTTAGCTCAAAATATGCAAAATATTGTCACATAATACTATAAAAATAAATGAGATAGTTTATGTTATTAATATTAATGAGATATTTTACATTTTTTGTAGTTTGAAATCCATATATATTACATTTTATACTTATAGCACCTCTCAATTTAGTGTAGCCACATTTCAAGTACTGTTAGCCACACGCAGCCACTATATTGAGCAGTACCCATATGAGGTTTTTAAGGGCAGCAGACATACCTGAGTCACTTGTTTGGGTCCTCAGTACCCAGCTGTGCTTGGCCCAGGGAAGGGCTCCATGGCTTTGTGGTTAAGACCCAGGCTGGGAACTTGGCCTTGCCACTTAACAGCTGTGTTATATTGGCCAACCCTGTTGGGTCTCAGCTGCTTATCTATAAAGTTGTGGTGATAACATTTTCAATCTGCTTCATAATGTTCATATAAATTAAATATTTATATAGATAGAGTGTACAGATCCTTACAGATGCAAAACTGAAGATGAAAGAGGAGAACTAGCTGGTCTAGTGAGTGTACAAGATTTATGGGGAGGATCCTTCTTCTTGGCCTCCTGCTCTGATTGAATCTGGGGCCTGGGCCTATGCCCATACTTCGCCTCCCAGAGTCTGGATCTGCAGTGGGGTCAGACAGGCGGCAGGCAGGCTAGGGAGACTCAGGTCTAATGCAGGTGGCTCCAGGGGCTGGAAGCTGTTGAGATAGCTGGGGAGTTATAACGTGCCCTGGGAATGACGATCAGTAGACTGGCCAAGGATTTATTGCCCATTTGGTCAGGGTGCGAGGCAGAGGGGTGTGGTAGGGCAGGCAGGGCCAGGCTGTAGCATGCATCCACTGCTGCTGCTGATGGAGCCTGAGAGCCATGTGTACTTGGGCCCCCTGGTTCTCTGCTGCCTCAGGGGCCTGACTGCTGAGGCCTTGTGGACCTACCTATGGGGTCAAGCTAGCCTGGCTGCCAGCCTTCTCTCTCCTCACAGCTTTCTTTCTGGGGCCTCATGAACCTTTTACAGGGCTCATGTAAGCTGGTAGGCAGTGGTTATTTTACTGGGGTCTGCTGCCTTCTGGAGACTAAGGGCAGGGACCTTATCTACTTTACCTGTATTCTCCGGGTCTAGCACAGGGCTAGGTGGGGTCTCACCTTCGAGAGCTGGCTGAACCAACGAGTGAGGCAAAGCAGTGTCTGAAATACCGCAGCAGCCATGGAGCAGCAGAATTAGCTGAAGAATGGAATGTGCAAATCTTCAGTGAGGAGGTGGGCTTAGCACTGGACCAGGAAGGCACAATCAGGAGCTACTCACTGGAAGGGGAAGAAACAGGGGGGTTCTGAAGCAGACAGTGTTGTGGTTGAGACATCAACAGTGCCCATGGATCGGATATTATAGTGGAGCTAACTATCAGGGAGCTAACATTTATTGAGCACTTACTGTGTGCAGTACCTGCATCCCACTGACTCTCACAGTCTCCCCAGTAGGAGAGCTCTGAGGCCACCCAGTTGGATGGAGAGGAATGTGAGGTTTAGAGGGTGGCAAAGCTTGCACAGAGTCACAGGACTGACGAGGACTAGAGCAGCGCTCACAGCCCCGGCTCTCTGGCTCAGAGCATGCCTGCTTAACCAGACACCGGTATCATCATCAAGCTCCCTGTTTGCTCAACCTCCCAGACCCAGCATCTCGTCAGAGCCTTCGAACAACCGGGCTGTGATCCCTGGGCTCATGGTGGGAAGAGATGCTCAGGCTGCAGAGTGGGTGTGCCCAGGCTTGGACGCCTGTCGTGTACCTGCATTCGTAGGCATCACAATAGTAGGAGCAGCCTCATCACCCAATGGGTGCCGGGGGCTTTGCATCTGCTCTCTTGCTGACTCCCTCCAGGAGTTGTGAGGTTAGATCTCTTATCTGCAATGTAAGATGAGGAAACCGGCTCAGCAAGGTCAGAGTCACCAAGCAGTAAAGGGGGACCTCACCTGGGTGTGTATGACTCCAGAGTCCGTGTACCAGAGTGACCGCTTGTCCCAGCTTACCACACCCCAGAGATGTTTGCTAAGTGAGTCTCTTAAAGGGAACTCCAGGGACCAGCCCAGAGCTAAGCCATGCCCATGGCTGCCTGGATGATGGAATCCCAGCATCCTCCTCAATGGCCTAAGGCCATGCCTCTACCTTCTCTTTGCTGCCTTAGGGACCGTGCTGGGGAGAGGTCTCTTGCAGGTGGCAGTTGATCACATGAGCACTGTAGGTTCAGGTAAGGGCAGCTGAGGGTGCAAATACCAGAGACAAGACTTGAGGGTTTTTCAGGCAGTAGCAGCTCCATTCACTAATGACTACTCTGTGCCCAGCACACAGGGACAGAGAATGGCTCATAGCCCTGTGTGGGAGAAACACAAAACATCACATTTTCAACTCATGCCAAGCCCTGGGGGAACAAAGTGATACAGAGCCCCGGGGCATCTCATATTCCAGGGGACCTAACACTGGCGTTAGTTCTTGGAGAAACTCCTGATTGCACAAGAGAGGTGGAGGAGTGGCCTTCTAGGCAGAAGGAACAGCACTGGGAAGGCCTGGAGGGAGGAACACAAGACAGACAATAAGCAGGGCAGGTGAGTGTGGGAGCCGGAAGAGAGGCCGGGCCAAGTCCTGAAGATCCTGGAATGGCAATCTGAGGTGCTGGGACACCTCAGACCTGTGGTGTCCCAGACCTATTGCTGGCCCACCATGACCTGTGGCTGCTCCACGAAGGACAGCCCCCCTCCCCGCCCCACTCCCCGCCCCCCGACCCCAGCACTGCCTGTGCCAGGACAGCGAGAGCTCAGCCAAGTCCAAGCTAAGCCCTGAAAGTCCAAGTTCTTCCCAGGCCTCAGCTTTCCTTTCTGTGAAATGAGGGTACAGATCCCTTGAGCCCGGGCCCAGAGAGGGTTCCCCAGATCCAGGGTTTCGCAGATCTGCTTAAGGACAGGGATTCAGCTCACCTGTCCCCCCTCCCCGCGCTGCCGGAGGGCAGAGCTGATAAGGGGGTGTGGATGGGAGGGCAGCAGCCAGCAGAGCAGGCGTGTGCGGAGGACAGGGTCCAGAGGGGCTCTGCCCCGTGGCCTGGAAGGCCCCAGCATGACTTCCACGGGCCCTAGTCCCTTGGCCGTGCTACCTGATAGGTTGTCAGCCCCGGCCTCCGGGTGAGTCCGAACTGACCCCTCCTGCAGGCACCATGGCCCAGGGCTGGGCGCTGCTGCTCCTGCTGCTGTTGCCGCGGCAGCTGGGAGTGGTGCTCGCTGCCAGGACCCCGGGGTTTGGCCGAAGCGGCGCCCGCAGCCTGAGCCCCGAAGAGAATGAATTCTCAGAGGAGGAGCCGGTGCTAGTCTTGAGCCCCGAGGAGCCCGGGCGCGGCCCAGCCACCATCGACTGCCCTCGAGACTGCGCCTGCTCCCAGGAGGGGGTCGTGGACTGCGGCGGCATCGACCTGCGCGAGTTCCCGGGGGACCTGCCCGAGCACACTAACCATCTGTCCTTGCAGGTGAGGCTGCGGCGCTGTGCCAACGGTCACGGTCGCCGGAGGCTGCCCCGCACATGGTGGCTCCCATCCCGGAACCCCCCCCCCCCAACCCCCACCAAGGTCTTTGCCCATGGCCTCCCACCCTCCAGACGCAGGGCGCGAGGGCAGGTCAAACAAAAGGATGGCTCCACCAGGGGCATCCTGGCTCTGACATCCCCGGCACAGAGCACTGTGATGTTACGACCTGCTTTGTCTCCTGGGAGGAGTCTGGGTTGAGGCTGTCAGTAGAGTCAGGACCTGTCTGAGATCCGACACAGACCCGCCCTCAGCTGACCCTCTGGGAAGACAGGGTACCCCAGATACCATTACGGACCAGAAAAGTGAACACACAGGAGACCCCTGAAGAGCACCCTGGGGGGTCCAGTGCTCTCCCCAGCTGAGGCCCCATCTAGATTTCAGAACCTCCGGAAGTGGGACACAGCATTCCAGATGGGAACTCTGGGGGCACTGATGTGACCGTAATCACCCTCGTGTAACCCTGAGGGACAGGGAGGGGCTGCTGCCCCTGTTTCCAGAGGAGACCAGGCCCAGAGTAGGACAGTGACCAGCCCGGAGGAGACCAGGCCCAGAGCAGGACAGTGACCAGCCCGGAGGAGACCAGGCCCAGAGCAGGACAGTGACCAGCCCGGAGGAGACCAGGCCCAGAGCAGGACAGTGACCAGCCCGGAGGAGACCAGGCCCAGAGCAGGACAGTGACCAGCCCGGAGGAGACCAGGCCCAGAGCAGGACAGTGACCAGCCCGGAGGAGACCAGGCCCAGAGCAGGACAGTGACCAGCCCGGAGGAGACCAGGCCCAGAGCAGGACAGTGACCAGCCCGGAGGAGACCAGGCCCAGAGTAGGATAGTGACCAGCCCATGGTCACGCAGCCCCCACGGGTCTGCACTGGTGGTGGTGGGAGCCCAAGACCAAGGTAGCCCCTGAGGGAAAGAGGCAAGCTGAGGACAGGACTTACTGTTGGTTCATTCACCAAGTAGCTCCTGTGTACCAGCTCTATGCTTCTGGTCCTGTGTGGGCTTCTGGGCAAGTAGGGAGGTCTAGGACATGTATTGCTGGGAGGTGCTCACTGTCTCTCTGGGAGGCAGAGACCTAAACAGGTAGAAAGAACAGACAGAGATGGAAGGACTAGTGCTGTGAGGCCAGAGCAGCTCCTAGTCCAGCCCCCAATCCAACCCAGGAAGGCTTCTGGAGGAGGTGCTACCTGACCCAGGTTGTAAAGCATCCCAAGGGGAAATGGGATCCACTGGGCCAGGAACCAAAAGTGGGTTTCTGGCTTGGGGAAGGGGAGAATGGGCTGGGGACACCTGTCACTAAGTGGGAACAGTTCTGGAGGGAAGACAGCATTCTAAGTTTGAACTGCCTGTGGATATCTGTGTGTGTGTGTGTGTGTGTGTGTGTGTGTGTGTGTGTGTGTACGCCTGCCTCTTACAAGGGGGCCCACACCTCTGCTGTGGTTACTGCTGTGCCTGTAACAGCCGCACCTGGGCCTGGCTCAGAGCTAGTCCCCAGGGGCTGTCCACCATGGGACAGAATGCCAGGGGAGGGGCCCAACAGAGGGACTGGCTCCTGGGAATGGACTGAGGTGGGTGCAGGCATCTAATGGGGCAGGAGCCCTGGGTACCCCCTGGTGTTGCCTCCTCACCATCCCCACCTCTCTCCCCCTAGAACAACCAGCTGGAGAAGATCTACCCCAGGGAGCTCTCCCGGCTGCATCGGCTGGAGACGCTGAACCTCCAGAACAACCGCCTGACTTCCCGAGGTGAGAGATCGCCCAGGGCTGGGGGCTGGGACCCCAGACAGGAAACTAGGTGCCTATGGGGAAAGCCCTGCCCTCCAGACCCTGGCATGTGGGAAAGAGCAGGCCTGGGCTGGGTTGGCTTCCGGACCCATGGCAGGGGCTCCCTGTGGTTGCCTAACAGCCACTGCTGTTTGTTTCTGAGACTGGGGAGTCTGATCAAGGGAGAGGCTTCAGAGCAGCTCAGACTCCAGAGTCCGAGGAATCACAGAAGGCCTTTATAATCAAAGAGTGTAGAATCCTCAAATTTTAAGTTTTTTTTTTCTGATGATGAAAATAGTTTCTAATTATAGTAGAAAATTTGGAAATATAGAAATTGGAGTACAAAAAACCCCACTCATTATCCTGCCACTGCCACCTGAAAAGTGAAAGTGAAAATCGCTCAGTTGTGTCCAACTCTTTGTGACTCCATGGACTATACAATCCATGGAATTCTCCAGACCAGAATACTGGAGTGGGTAGCCTTTCCCTTCTCCAGGGGATCTTCCCAACCCAGAGATTGAACCCAGGTCTCCTTCATTGCAGGCAGATTCTGTCAGTTGAGCCACGTGAAGTTCATCACTATTGACATTTTGGTATATTTCTTTTCATTAAAAAAAAAAAAAGCATAATTTATATACCATAAAGTTTATTCAACTTAAAGGTACAATCTAATGAGTTTTTATAAGTTTATATGTTGTACAGCCATCACCACAATCCAGTCCAGTCCTTTTACTTTGTGTTTTTAATTCATAGCTGTACTGATAGTATCGATACTATAACTGTTATAATTGCTTTGTTTCACTTAGCAGTTAGCTCAGCAGCATTTCTCATGTTGCTGAAAACTCTCCCCGGCCATCATTTGACACAGGGTATTCCGCAGAGGGATGCTGCACAGTTTATGTAACTGTTCCCTCTTGTTAGATACTTGGGTGAGTCCCAGGATCTGAGGGTCTGGGAGATCAGAACCAAGTGTCAGAGGCCGACCTCAGGACTGGAGAAGGGCCAGCCTGGCTGGGCTCCCAGTGACAGCTGGGTTCTGACACCACATATGCCAGATGGGGCAGGAGAGGGCCAGGTGCAGGGTGGGGGCGGGAAGGGGCTCAGAAGCCATTGCCTTGCCCTACCCTGCCTGGGGCTGGGTGTGGAGATTCTCTCTGACCCTCTGGAGCTGTCCCCAGGGGCACACTCCTTCTTGGCAGGTCCTCTGCCCTGTGGACTGATCTTTTGGGTGCCCATTCCCACCCAGGCTGCCCTGAGAAAGTGAAGGATCAGTCATCTCTCAGCAGACACTTGCCATCTACTCTTCTGAGCCTGGGCCTCTGAGAGCGGGACTGGGGGTGGGGTGGCCCTGGCCAGGCCTGTCGGGACTGGCTGGGTAGGGTTCAGAGCCGCATCTGCCCCAGGCAGTGCCTCCCTGTCCTGGCAAGTGGGGTGGGTGTGGGGTGGTCAGTGCTCACGTGCTCCCCTGTAGCGTCTCCTTCATCCAGGGCTCTGACTGATGCCTGTCCTTTGAAGGGCTCCCGGAGGAGGCATTTGAGCATCTGACCAACCTCAATTACCTGTACCTGGCCAATAACAAGGTGAGGGGCCCGCAGCAGGGCAGGGTGTCTGGGGCTGAGCTCAGGGAACTTTCACCAGGGCCTCTTTTGGGCCGGCTGCTGGGTTCCTATTGCTGCTCAGGCATGGTCCAGACCCCACACTTTAACACAGGGCTTCAGAGTGGTCAGATGATGAGCGAGGCCAAGGCCTACATCAGCGTAGTGGGGTGAGAGCTCATCCCCATGGGGAGGGGGCATTGGAGGGATAGCATTTGAAGGGCCATGAAGGGTAATGGAATTTCAGCCAGAGGCCTCAAGGGGAAGAGCACTGCAGTAAAAGCGACAGCATGAGTGAAGGTACAAAGGCACTCAGCCTCACAGTATTTGGCCTGTCGCAGGGCTCTTTCCTGGCCCTTCTCTCTAAACTCCCAAGGTGACTATCTCCTCTTTGGTCTATAACACCCATCTACCTCAAGGCCACATCCAGAGGGCTCCAGGCTTTCCCCTACTCCCATGTGAGACTCAAAGATCCCCCTGCCTCCTCAGCATCTCCCCTGGATGTTTGATAGAAATAGAACTACCCGCTCCCATCACAGTCCTTTCTGTTGTCTCTCCATCTCTGGAAGGGGCATCTCCAACCACCTGCAACGCCACTGGTCAGAGCCATGAATCCCTGAGTGCTTCGCTCACCCACATCTGCTCTCACCACAGCTCCCCAACCCCCTGTCCTGCCCACCAGCATAGGACAACCCACCTTCTCATCTGTGGCCCTTCTCCTCAGAGCAGCCAGAGGGGCTTTTCAAAATCTTGCCCCACTCCCGCTCTACATCGTCCCCTTCCCACTTAAAAGCCTCCCATGGCTTCACCCTCTGCCCAGGAATAAACCCACACATCTCCCTGAGACCTGCAGACTTGGGTCCCCGGCCCTCCTGGCTTTCTTAACTCATCTCCCCACTGGCTCCCACCCCCAAACCTGGCAGACCGTCCCGCATGGGCCTCTGCTCACTGTCCCTGCTGTGTGGGTACTCTCCCACACAGATGGCATTTAGGGTGACGTCATCTCTTCTCCAAGCACCCCACAAAGTTGTTCATTGTCTTCTGTCTGTTTGAATTCCTGGCACAGCAGTGATCACTCTCGATACTTTTATTCCTTGTGTATCATCTTTTCCACTAGGATGTAAGCTTTTGGTGTGGGTGGTGTGGGCAGGGACCTGTGTCTTGTTCCCTAGGACATGTCCAGGGCCTGGAACTCTGCCTTCACATTGCAGATTTCAGGGAGTACTGTTGAATAAATGAAGGGTGGATAGCGTGGACTGGGGCTGGAGAAACGTGGGTGCTCACTGTGCCTGCACAGAGGGCCAGTGTCAGGGGCAATGAGGGGAGAGGCCAGGAGAATGGGCAGGGCAGGGGACAAGATGGAGAGATTTGAATGTCAAGCTCAGGACTATGGGGAGCCATAGAGGTTCTGGTTTTGTGTTACTGGGGACTTTAGAAAGATGGCTCTGGTTGCAGAGACGAGACAAACTGAAGGGGCTCAGATGAGCAGCAGGCAGTGTGACTCCGAGCCGGCCTCTCACCCTCCACTGGTCTTTCTACCCCAACTCTTCCTTTTCCAGCTGACCTTGGCACCCCGCTTCCTGCCAAATGCCCTGATCAGTGTGGACTTCGCTGCCAACTATCTCACCAAAATCTACGGGCTCACCTTTGGTCAGAAGCCAAACTTGAGGTCAGAGGTCAGAGGGGGACCGTGGGCTTAGGTTGGGGAGAGGGGAGGAGCTGAGGCAGAGGCTGCAGGCCCTGAGTGGGGTACAGGCAACCCAGAGAGGAGGGATGGGTAGTGCAGTGCAGCCCTGATGCCCCATGCCCAGGGCTGAGGTGACAGACACCCAGGGCTGCAGGGGCACAGGGTCTGGAAGGCTGACCCCTAAAGGAGGAGGAGGAGTCAGTCGAGAGGCGAGGACAGAGGGTGATGTCTGGGGAATTGTGGGGAGCAGATGAGGGTATTTCCCTCCTTGCCTAGCCCCTGGGAAGGGAAGCCTCTTCCAATAGGCAGAGCTGCCCTTGCTGAGGCTGCTCTGGGTGAGGCCCCACAGCACAGGTATGTGAGTGGGTAGGGGAGGGGGTGCTGGGGAGGAGAAGGTGCTGACGGCCTCCCATGCCACTTTGTTCCTGAACCTGTCACCTCGATTCTCTCCATCCCCTGGAGAAGCCCGTGCTGCTGTGTATGGCTCTGTCCCACAGACGAGAAGACTGAGGCCCAAGAGAGGCCATACAGCAAGAATGAGCTGTATTGCCGATGGATTTCTCTTTGCATGGTCTTCCGTATAGAATGTTAGCTCCGTGAAGGCAGGGACTTGTTGGTTCTGTCCACTGCTGTATCTTTAGGATCTGGAACAGTCCTGGCACACAGGGGCACTTACTGTATGCTTGCTGAATGAATGAGGGGTCACCTCCTCTGAACCCAGATCCTGTGCTGGGCTCTAGGGACAAGGAGGTGACAGGGATAGGATCCATTCTCAGGAGGTCCCACAGAGCTCAGAGACAGCTGTGTGGACAGGCAGGGACTCCAGGGCTGCATCACTTGGGGAACAAGTGAGAACCTTGAAGGTTATGGAGAAGCAGGGACTGGGGGTCAGGAAGTCTTGTTTCTTCCACTAACTTGTAGGGTGGTTTCTTCATCCCCTCGGCTATGTAGGGGGAACTGGATTTGGTGGAGTCTGAGGTTGTTGAGATGGGAGGAGGGTGCCCTGGGCCACAGGCCCAACCTGAGCAAGGTCTGGAGGCTCACCAGCTGAGCTGGGTAGGGATGGTTGAGTGAGAACCTGAGCCTCGCCCCCAGGTCCGTGTATCTGCACAACAACAAGCTGGCGGACGCCGGGCTGCCGGACAACATGTTCAATGGCTCCAGCAATGTTGAGATCCTCATCTTGTCCAGCAACTTCCTGCGCCATGTACCCAAGCACCTGCCGCCCGCCCTCTACAAGCTGCACCTCAAGGTGGGAGGGAGAGGGCAGGGAGGAGCACTGCCCGAGCAGGGGAGAGCCCAGGCCCACGTGGGCACAGTCGTGAGGCTGTGGGGCCTCGGGCACGAGCTGGGGGCACAGGCTCCACTGCGGAGAAGCAGAGACCCAGACACCCGGCCATCAGCCCCACACTGAGTACTTTAGGCTTGGGCCCCCTCCCATGGCTCCCCCAGACCCCTCTCCATATCTCATCCCAAGGCTGTGTCCTTGCCCCTTGACTGTCCTTCATGCCCCCTCCCCACCCTCCCATCTCTCAGAACAACAAGCTGGAGAAGATCCCACCAGGTGCCTTCAGCGAGCTGAGCAACCTGCGTGAGCTGTACCTGCAGAACAACTACCTGACTGATGAGGGCCTGGACAATGAGACCTTCTGGTGAGCTCCTGCCTGGGCCTCAGTGTGAGCTCTGCACTCGGGAGGCCCCTCCCAGGGCTCACCTGGCTGGGCCCTTGCCCACCTGCCCCTGGCCAGTTTTCTCGGAGAAGGAACTTTAAGGCTTGTGCCTTTACTGACACTTCTGTCCCGAAGAATAGTGCTATGTAAGTCCTGCCCCAAAAAAGGCAAGGAAGTGTTTGCAGAGGCTGGCTTCTTGGTACAAAGTAGAGACTCAAGCATTCTCGTTGAAGGCAGATCTATTTTCAGTTTTTAGGCCCGGGGTAGCCTAAAATGACAAAAGGCTTTAAAAGTCTTCAAACAAATCCTGTGTCAGAAACTTGCTAGATCCTTCTTACACCAATGTATCTTTGAATCAAGCCACTGAGAGGCTGGGAGAGGACTGAGTTCCCCAGTCAGCCAGTGGCAGAGCTGGGATGAGTTAGAAGAAGTCCCTGCCACCTCCCTTGGGAGTAATGTTGGAAACAAGTGCCACGTGGGCTCTTGTCCACCGACCTAATACCCCGCTTCCCTCCAGGAAGCTCTCCAGCCTGGAGTACCTGGATCTGTCCAGCAACAACCTGTCGCGGGTCCCGGCAGGGCTGCCGCGCAGCCTGGTGCTGCTGCACCTGGAGAAGAACGCCATCCGGAGCGTGGCCGCGGACGTGCTGACCCCCATCCGCAGCCTCGAGTACCTGCTGCTACACAGCAACCAGCTGCGCGCGCAGGGCATCCACCCGCGGGCCTTCCAGGGCCTCAAGCGGCTGCACACAGTGCACCTGTACAACAACGCTCTGGAGCGCGTGCCCAGCGGCCTGCCCCGCCGCGTGCGCACCCTCATGATCCTGCACAACCAGATCACCGGCATCGGCCGCGACGACTTTGCCACCACCTACTACCTGGAGGAGCTCAACCTCAGCTACAACCGCATCACCAGCCCGCAGGTGCACCGCGATGCCTTCCGCAAGCTGCGTCTGCTGCGCTCGCTGGACCTCTCCGGCAACCGGCTGCACACCCTGCCGCCTGGGCTGCCGCGCAACGTGCACGTGCTGAAGATCAAGCGCAACGAGCTGGTCGCCCTGGCGCGTGGGGCGCTGGCCGGCATGGCCCAGCTGCGGGAGCTCTACCTCACCGGCAACCGGCTGCGCAACCGGGCCCTGGGACCCCGTGCCTGGGCCGACCTCTCTGGTCTGCAGGTGAGGGGGCAGGGCCGTGCCCATATACAGTACTACTGGTCAGGCTGCCCTGAGCCCACCCAGCTGCTGGGCCCAGGAGAGGGGGGAGCAGGAGGGCAGGGCCTCTAGAGAAGGACCCGCTGGGCAGCCAGGGTATTATGGTACGGAGCCTGGTCCATGCCAAGGATCTGGCAGGCTCATGGTACAGCAGCGCATGGCAGAGTTCAGCTGGCTGGCAAGCAAGAGCTTACCACCTGCAGGGACAGGCTTGCGGAATCCTGTAGGGACAAGGGAAGTTCATGGCTGCAGGTTGGGGGGGGGGCATTGTCCAGGAGGACTGAAGGACAGGGACAGTTCAGGTGGCATGAGAAAGTGGAGCTCACCCACCTGTGGGCACAGGATAGATGCCTGGAGAAGGCTGGGCTTGTGGGAGGGGAGGGTGGCAGGTGCCTGAGGCAGGCTAACCTCACCAGGCTGCAGAGTCTAGGGTAGTGAACTTGAGGCTTCTGGGACTGACCGGTGGCTGTGGCTCCTGTAGCCACAACCTGAGACAGGAAGGCTGTCTGGCCATGTGAACTGAGCCTCCTTGGTTACAAGTGAAGCCTCCCGACCCAGTGAGGGGCTTGAAGGGGAACCTCATTAAGGAACCTGGGAGGCTCTGCTGTTTTACCAGGCCCCCCTCTCCCAAATGTCCTCAGGCCTTGCTCTGCCCTTTTCCGCAGGGCTCTGCTCAAATATCACCTCATTGGGAGGTCTTCCTTCACTGCCTGCCACCTTCCTCTGCTTTGTTTTACATCATAACCTTCTTCCCTCTGAAAGTAGGTCATCTGTTTACTTGTTTGTTTCCTGCTCTTCCTGCTAGAACAAGGCGCAGGCGTTTTAGTCAGTTGTGTTCACTGCTGGACCAGGGCCCCGGCTGTGGGAGGCACGCAGTCCATGCTTGTCAGGGGAGCTGTCAGGGTGGGGATGTCTGAGAGGAGTGCAGGGGAGAGGCCCTGAGAGTGGGAGGCAGGGAGGTGGGGCTGAGCCCCAAGGGTTAGTGGTGGGAGGCGGCTGGTCCTACAGGAGCAGCCAGGGTCTCTCCCCACCCAGAGAGTCCTGCTGAGTGTCAGACACCAGGGTCCAGCCACCAGTGCCCATCTTTCTTGTGCCAGTTCTTAAGGGGCCCCAACCCTATTACCCTCTCCTCCATACCTGCCCCTCCTGCTGCATTGGCTAACTCGCTGAAGGAGGTGACATCCACCTGGGTGTCCACAGGAAATGTGGAGGCTGCCCTGACACCCCCTCTTCCACGCCGTCTGACCTCCATTGCCCATTGTTACTAAACCTTCCCACTCTATCATGACGTCTCCCCATCTTTCCACTTTTTTCCATCCTACTGGACATATCAGAAAGTCAAGTCACCCCATTTCTTCCTGGTCCTCAGCTTCCTAGGAGCACTCCACTCCTGTCTTCCACATACAATCAGCTGGTATCTTGAAAAACAAACAAACAAACAAAAAAACAAACAAAAAAAAACCAAACATGCTCACTGTACACCCACCCAGAACCCTTCAGTGGCTTCCCTTTAGAACCCAGACCAGAATCCTGGCCATGACCTTCAGGGCCTGGCCTGCTTCTGCTCCCAGCTGAGCTTCTTGGTTTCCCAGATGCCCTGGACTTTGTTTATACTGTCCCCTTGGCTGGAAAGCCAGTGACACCTACTCACTCATTCATTCCACAAGCTGGTACTGAACCCTCACCACATGCAGAACCAGTTCTAGAACTGAGGACCTAGAGGGGATTAACACAAATCCAGGGTCACTGCCCTCCTAGAGCTTATCTTCTATCTAGGACTCAGCTCAATTGTCACCTCCACCAGGAAGCCACCACCTATGGGCAGGTGAAATGGCCTTCTGGGTGAGTCCAGTCAGGAAGGGGGTATCTGGTGAAGATCTTCCTCAGCCTGTTGGATCTTCGTACAAGCAGCGACTCTCACTGCTCCAGAGCTCCCACCTGTGTGGGCTGCTGTCTACTCCCCCGACCCCAATTGGGCTGGATCAGGCCCCTTCCCCGGCTGCCTTATCACAGCCCGGTTCCACTGCTGTCATTGTCAGATCCTTGTGTCCATCTCTCCTGCCAGCCTGGCTGGTGGGCACTGAGGAGGTCTAGAATGAATGAGGAAGTGCTGGATTCGTGTGGAAGGAACCCAGTGGGGAGCAGGGAGCCCTGCTGATAGAGAAGGTGACAGGGAGGATTCCTAGGTTGCCTGAATTGTGTGCTTCCCTGAATCTGGAATCTGGATTTATGGCCCCCAGTTCCCTGGCCCTGAGCCCCATCCTGTCAGGGTGAGGAGGGAGCTTGAAATGATGGAATCCCACCCGTGGCTATACAGGTGTGTATCAGGGCTAGGGTGCTGACAGCCCAAGGTGCAGGCAGTGAGCCAGGCCCGGGCATGTCCAAGTCTCCTTCCTGCTGCAGTTGTGCTCTGCTCCCTGGGAAAACCACCCCATTTCCCTGGCCACCTGCTTCCTGGACTCTAGACCTGTGGTGAGTCTGACACTGACCAGCCTAGGGCCTGGTTGCCATGCCAGGGTCTCTCTGAGCCTTGAATCTTGACCCTCGGCCCCTGTCTACATGGCCCTGAGAGCCACAAAGGAGTAGCCCCGCCCCCATCCTCATCTGGCAAATTGGGTTGCACTTTAAAGACTGGAGGACACCTAGTCCCTGCCCTTTTGGGGTCTTTAGTCTGAGGGAGGTGACAGGTGAGTTAAGGAGGGAGGACTTTAGCACCCAGACACTATGACCATGAATTCATGTGGCCAGGTGGAACGAGCATGGTAGGAGATACACCAATTAGAACAAGTATTTGGAGTCACGAGCCCCGGCTTCCAGCCTTTACAGGCCCTATGGCCTGCAACAGATCTCTGAACCTCTCCAAGCCTCTGTTTTCCCATCTGGAAATGGGGGTAGTTATAGAGCCCGCCTCACGGGGTTATGAGATTTAGAATGCTCCGGGTCAGTTGGAGCTTGGCAAACTGTCAAGTGCCGTATCTGCCCTGCTCACCCCTGTAGCTGCTCGACATTGCTGGGAATCAGCTCACGGAGATCCCCAGGGGGCTTCCAGAGTCGCTGGAGTACCTGTACCTGCAGAATAACAAGATTAGTGCCGTGCCCGCCAATGCCTTTGACTCTACACCCAACCTCAAAGGGATTTTTCTCAGGTAGGAGGCCTGCCCCTGCCCCTCAGGGGGCTGCCCAGCTCCAGCAGAACAGTCAGGGCCCATGGGAACCACTCACAGGCAGAGGTCAGTGCTTGAAGCAGTGCTTCCATAGAGCAGAGCCCTGGTTACATCACAGAGCCCCACTGAGCTCCTGTTCCCTTGGCTCTCAAGGGTGAAAACAGTCCTGGCCAGCCCTGGTGAGGTTCACTGGTTTGTGAAAGGGCTTTGGAAACTTTAAAAAGCAGAACTTGTGGGCGTTCTTGATGTTCCTGTGGCAGGAAGGGACCACAGAGAGCATCTTCCCAATTTACAGCTGGGAAAGTTGAGGCCCGGAAAGCACAGGTGACTGCTGTGTCCATAGCTGGACAGGCTGGGCCTGGGCCTCAGACCCAGGATAGCAGATGTTCAGGTCCTTTCTGGGTTCTGGGGGTTTAGGATAATGCAGGAGACCCGGCTCCCCTAGGAGAGCAGAACCAGGGTGGTTCTTCCCACCATCCCCCTCCAAGTCAGACAGATCAGACAGAGGCAGCATGTGCACTCCCAGGGACTTTGTGGCCCAGAAGGCCCAGGCTGGGTGACATTGGGGTGCAGTGTGCCTCGGCTCCTGCAGGAGACTGAGGTACAGAGAGTTGAGGGGGCCTGAGATCAGAGCCCAGCCTTCCCCTTCCCGAACGTAAGTGCGTCCCCAACCCATTGTGGCCCTGGCCTTTCTGTGCCCCTCTACACTCAGCTCCAAGGTGACTTCCGGCTGGCCACAGAGCATCCTCAGACCTCCAGGTTAATGCCAACGAGCGGCAGGGAGCACTTGCTTGTGTCTGCCACCCCTAGATCATAGTAAGAGCATATATGGTGGAGGCCTTCTCTCCTCTGTACGGGGTCACCCTTCCCCACTGCAGTAGCCACACAGAATAGCTCAAGCTCCCTGTGATGGCCTGGACTCCTAAGCCCCTTCTTTTGTGCTTGCTGCATGTCTTCTTGGAAGGCCCGTCCCTTCCAACCCACTTCTGGGCTGGGTCACTGTGGGGACACTGTCGGGCTAATGGCACAGACCTCACATGGGTGCCCTGCACAGGTTTAACAAGCTGGCTGTGGGCTCCGTGGTGGAGAGTGCCTTCCGGAAGCTGAAGCACCTGCAAGTCTTGGACATAGAGGGCAACTTTGAGTTTGGTGACGTTTCCAAGGACCGGGGCCGGTTGGAGAAGGAAGAGGAGGAGGAGGAGGACGATGACGACGAGGAGGAAGAGGAAAGGCGGTAGTGACTGGGTGAATCGGATCTGACATAGGTGGGTGGTCTGTGTGGGGCGCCCTAGCCTGCTTCACCACATTCCTGCCCCTGACCCCAGTCTAGGGTCTTTCTGTCCATTCTCCACCCACTGTACCCTGCTTCACTGTTCATTTTGCAACTCTGTTAGAGCGCTCAGTGTGCTCAGGCCCTGGGTGCGAGGTCAGGGAAGATAGCATGCCAGCGGGAGGCCGGCCCGTGCCAGGGCCTTGACCCACAGCGATGCATCCCTGATGGGACTGGGAGGAGGGGAAGCAGGGAATGGATACGGAGTCCCACGAGGAGGCTACTGCTGCAACTCAAGCCAGAGATGCTGGAGGTGGGCAGTGAGGTTGCAGACCAGCAGATGGGCCTGAAAGGAGGTCTGGAGGTGCAGACTTGAGGGGCCCAGCCTGTCCTGCTGGACCTGGGGTGAAGGAGAAGACAAGATTCCAGTTCTAGCCTGGAATTCCGGGTGAATGATAATACTTGGAGGAGCAGGTCTGGTGAGGGGAACGGTGAGTTTGGAGGACACTGGGGAACTTTCCAGGGTGGACTGGCTATTTGGATCTGGGGCTGCAGAGTGAGGTCTGGCTGGAGAGGGAGGTCCAGGAATTGTAGGCCTTGAAACAGTCCCTGGGGGACTGGAGAGGCTGGGGGAGCTCTCCAGGGAGAGAAGAGGGAGGGGGATGGCCAGCTGGAGGGGAGCGGCAGGAGGAAGGGGACAGAGCACCAGGGGAGGGAGGCAGAACTGCAGACAGCCCAGGACAGAGGGTCATCACACGTGCACGGAGTGCACCAACGTGCACACACTCACACTCATCTAAACATGCACACACATGCACAAAGCAGACACTCAAACACACACACACATGTGCACACACAGATACACTTGCATGTACTTTATTGTGTATTTGCAGATGCAGGACAGGCACACCATTGCATATACTCATGTGTGCATGCATGTGAGTACACACACATGTGCCTCCCCAGGCACATATGCCCTTGTGTGCACATGTGCACACACACATATACATGTGCATGCATGTTATGCATCCGTGCACAGGAAGTGGAAGGAATGAATCAGCTGTGTGAGCGCATCAGAGAGAATGATGGAGCTGAGCGTGGCCACGGACCCACTGGACTTATCTATAGGGAGGTCACTGTGACCTTGTCGGGAGCAGCTTCAGGGGCTAAGAGAGTGGAGAAAGTGGCTGGAAAGGAGAGGGTTCAGGGAGTATAGACAAGTCTGTCAAGAAGCTTGATTGTGAAGAGATGAGTGAGGCTGGTGGTGGGAAGGATGCATGAAGCTCAGGCAGGGTTCTGTTCTTGCTGGGCCTTTTTTAAGCAATAGAGCTGGTTTGAATGCCAATAGGGAGGGGCCCATGCTGAGGGAGGAGTTAAAAGCATAAGAGAGGAGAGCTGGGTGTAGCCACACCTGTGCAAGCAGGAGGAAAGACTGGCTTGCGCAGGGGGGTCAGTTCTGCAGAGGCTACAGTCACACGCAGGTCAGCGGCTTCGTGGCTAGATGTGAAGTCACACCCACCCGGTGCCTTCAGCCTTCTGGTTTCTCTGTGCAGCAGGTACTCAGCAGACCAGGGTGGGTGTGGAGACGATGGCCAGTTGGATCCTCCCATGGCTGAGGTTTTGGCCAGGAGTGTGAGACAGGAAGGCAAGGAACAAGGAAACTGAGGGTGCTGGCAAGAGAGAGGCTGTCTTGCAAATGCTGGGGCTCAGGCTGAAAAGGGAAGGGGTGCAGATGGGAGGGATTGGTCTCCTGGGGGAGGAGGTTGAAGGGTGGGCATGGTGGTGGGGAGTAGCCAGGAGGGGAGGTGTGGTCAGGAGAGATACCAGAGTAAGCTGAGCTGGATCGCTATTAGGATGTTGAATTGAAGTAGGGTCTGAGACAGAGAGAAGTCTGAGTGGGGTTGAGGATCCTATGGGTGGAGGACATAAGGAGGAGGGAACAGGGGTCCAGTGGCAGAGAGAGGAGTGAGTGTGCTGGGCTTGGTACCTGATTGTGGAGGGCAGGCCCAGAGGCAGTGCTCGGGAGTCACTTTTCTTGACTCCTGGGCCCAGGGGCCTGGAGGTAGAGCCCCTTATCTCCATGCGTTGTCCTCTGGCAGAGCCAGGGGTCAGTGACTGGGGTGACTAGCCATTCAGTGGGGGTGCTGGGGCCCTCAGAAAGGCACTGTGGGTCCTGGGGTAGAGAGAATCTGCCCCTCTGGAGGACACTGGGCACAGTCAGCAGCTCCGGGAGAGGCCAAAGAGGTCCAGAGATTTCCAGTCCACACCAGGCCCACAGGAGCACCTCCCATGGGAGCCCCTCACTGGCTCTGGACTCCCAGGGCAACTCCCGCTCAGGCCAGCAGTTGCTTGACCCTGCCAGGGCCCCCAGCTCTAATCCCCTTGGCCCCGGCTAGGCTTGGTGGGCAGGTCAGCCTTGGCCTCCCCTGACTCGCCCGCATGTTCTGCAGGACGACGGACCACTGGAGCCTTTCTGCAGCACGTGCCTGAGCCCTGCACACCCCCACTCTGCCTTGCTCACAGACACTCACAGCACAGTGCCCACCAGGCCCCACTCCACACACAGACTGGACCCAGTCTCCCCTCCCCACCCCTTCCTGCAGTCCATCCACAGCCAGACACCCACACACAGCCAGCGGCACAGCGTCCTCCAAACTTCCCCATGTTGGCCCCACACTCAATGCTGCCCTCAGTCCCTGAGTCCTGCAGACGAGGCAAAGGGTCTGACCAGTCCCAGCACTCATGGGTACCTGCTCCCTGCCCCGTGGACACATGTACACACACACACACACACATGAGTTACATGCTCTTCTCGGCCTCTGCCACCAGCAGCTCTTGCCCCAGCCAGAAATGGCCAGCTCGCTGTCTGTCTGTCTGCCCCCTCTGTCTGTCCCTTGGAGAAGACACAGAGTTATCTCCATGCTGTCTGCGGCCAGGTGCCTGCACCCTCTGGATCTCACAGACTGGGTTTTCTTCCTTTCTCTCCATTTGGGGAAGGAACCTTCAGGACTGCTTCCTTGGCCCAAAACCGGGTCAGTCATTCCCCGCCAGGCCCTGGCCGGGCCCAGACACAACTTTGATGGACGAGCCCCACTGAGGCCAGAGGGAAGGTCTGAGGCTGCTGGGGTCTTGGGCTGGAGCTCGGCGGAGGTGGCGGGGCTGGGTGGAGCAAGAGCGAAGGGCCCAGCTGCACCGATGAGAGAACTTTTTTATTCTTTGGGCCTGAGGGGAGTTCTGGGTGCCTTTTTTTTTTTTTTAATTCTTTTTTAAGGAAAAAAAAAAGATAAAAACTTCAAAGCTGATTTTTCTTGTTACAGAAAAACTAATATAAAAGCATTACCCCTGTCTGGCAGCCTGTGGCCCTGTCTGTGTGTGCTTCCTGCCAGGTGCCGGGCTCAGGCCTGGCCGGCCAGGCGGGATCCCAGCACTTCAGCACTTTCTGACCAGCAGGAGTCAGCGCCGAGTTCACTTTTGGGGGCCCACAAATTCACCCCATAGAAAGAAGTCCAGGGACACAGGGTTTAGGTGAAGGTGAGGCGGCCTGGAGGCCCCTCAGCTCGGGGGGTGGGGTCAACAGGTTGGGCCGGGACCACCACACAAAGCCTGTGAGCCCGCTCGCTCTGTGCTTCCGAGGGGCTGAGCATCCAGGCAGAGGACCTGCCAGCTTTGGGCTGCTCAGAGCTCCTGGGCACTGAGTGGGCATGACTGATGGGGTCTAGCCCATAGAGGATGCTGGAATGGGAAGGGGGCTGGAGGCAGGCCTGGGAGCTGGAGCAGAGCCCACCTCAGGGCCCTGGTCCCTGCAGGCTTGCCCAGAGGTGGCAGGCTAGCCCAGTGTGCCACCATCACCAGCGGGGCCAGAGCTGGGCCAGAAGAAGGCAGCCCCCAGCCCAGAGCAAAAAACGTCTCCAGGCAGAGCTGCCCCACAGTGGGTCGCATGCCCCGGAAGTGGTAGCCCTGGAAGTAGTGCGCCACTGGGGGTGTGTAAGCGTGCGGCCACTGCTTTACTGTCGGGCCCAGTAAAGAGCAGCTTCCTGACCCGTGTGGAGCAGATGCCATTGCTCAGAGAGATGTGCCCCAGGAAGGTGGACAGAAAGGTAGGCCACACCGTGGGGAGAGTTACGATAGCTGGACATCTGATCCGTCATAGGCCTTAAGGAAGGAGGGATGCTCCCGAGGTGCATTCTACAGCCTCTAGCCCTATGGTGGGAGGGGGAGCCTAGGGCCCTTCCTGGACTCTTCAGACCATAACGCTGGGAGGAAGATGGAGGTAATTCAGGAGCGGGGCCTGGGAGGAAGGTGGTCATTGTTGTTCAGCCGACTCTTGGCGAGCCCATGGACTGCAACATGCCAGGCTTCCCCATCCTTCACTGTCTATTGAGTCAATGTCGCCGTCCTACCGTCTCATTCTCTGTTGCCCCTTTCTCCTCCTGCCTTCAGTCTTTCCCAGCATCAGGGTCTTTTCCAATGAGTCAGCTCTTCGCACCAGGTGGCCAAAGTATTTGGAGCTTCAGCTTCAGCATCCGTCCTTCCACAGAATATTCAGGACTGATCACCCTCCTGATTCTCTGACTGACCCTGGGAGGCTCATCCTCTCTCCCAGCTTCACAGGCTCCATGGTGCAAAACCCTGGGGCTGTATCTTCTCCCCAAAGTGCATCCAGGGCAGACTGTGTGGCCAGGGTCTTCCATCTCCCCTGCAAGCCTCCTGGAGACACGGTGAGGCTGAGGAGAGCGAGGGAAGGGGAGTCTGAAAACTTCTCGGGCACATCCCCTGCTTAAAGCAAAGCATTCACTGATGGGAGCCAGGCTGGCTGAGGAAATGTGTTTCTTTTGTGAGGACTGACCTCAGGGCCCTGACTGGAGAGCCCAGGCTATGAGCAGGGTGGTCTGTCCACACCGTGGTTCCCAGACAGGCCCCTGGGCGGCCCAGTGGGTGCTCTGCTTCCTGCATGTAATGGCTCAGGCAGGTCTGTCCTCACTCTGGCTGCCCAGGCAGGCCCATCCGTACACTGACAGCCCAGACAGACCTGTCTACACTCCAGCGCTGCAGACTAGGCTGTTTACATTCCGGCTTCCTGGACAGCCCCGTCTGTACTCGGACTGCCCAGACAAGCAAGTCTGCGCTTTGCCTGTATTAACCCCATAAAGAAATGCTGGTTTGGGTATGGTCACTAAGCCCACAAGACTTGAAAAACAAAATACCTTTATTTAGTTATCACTGAACTTGCAAACACAGAAAGGAATAGAAAATCTATCTCCTCTTCATCACATGGGCTTTGGGGCAGGGGGTGGAGGGAATGCTGACCCCAGGGCCATCTGGGCAGCTTGAATGAAACATCCCAGGTGAGTCTGCGTCCCCAATCCTGGCTGGCTCACCTGTCCAATGGGAGACTAGCCCGGGGGTTTCTAGGGGCCCTGCAGCTCTGGTGAAGACATCTTCATCTCCACATCAGATGAGCTTTATGAGACAGAACTACTAGGTCAGGAGATGGGACTGGCTGTGGCACGTGGAAGGCAGTGGGTCTCGGCTTTAGGCTGGGCCCGTCCTTGGGGAGAGTTGTTGGTCTGAGGCCACGTGTTATGGGCTGGGTGGGGGCGGGTCTGGGCTGCGACACAGCTGGGGCAGAACCGGGACATTGCCATATCTTCATAAATTGAAAGCAGTGGTGGCTCTGGGGCTTCTGGAGGGGTCAGAGCATCCCTCTCGGCATCTGGCCCTGCAGGCATCTCTGTCCTCTGGCAGGGAGTGGCCAGGGCTTGAAAGCCTTGAACTAGAATCCTAGTCCTGATATCACTTGTTCTGAGACCTGGGGCAAGTGTTTTCAGCTCTCAGAGCCTCAACTTTGTGATTCAGAAAGTGGAGACCATACCCCTGCCTGCCACCCTCACAGGCCAGCCCAGTGGAAATGTCACAGCTGGGGCTCAGGCTACACCTGCCTGTAACTCTCCAGCTGGGACCCCCACATGCAATCTTTCCCCTTTCTGACACTCCACTTTCTGTCAAGTGGAGCCCATTCTGGACCCTCAAGGGTGGGGAGATAGTGTTAGGCTGGCCCTTGTGCTCAGGAAAGTAGTGAATTGAGATCCTGCCCTTGGCCCCTAACCCCGGAGGCCTCCCCCGGGCCTGGCAGTTCCCAGGGCTCAGACATTGGTCTCGAGCTCGCTGATCTCAATGGTGCAGTGGTCCAGACTGGCAGTGGCTGGTTCCTCATCCTGCTCCACCTGGACGGGGATGTGGTGGGGACAGGAGGGGCCGAGGGTCAGCTCTGCGGCCTCAGCCACGCTCTTCACACAGCCATTCTGCTGGGTTGCCACGATCTCCTGGAGGCTGACAGGCTTGGTCTCACAGGGCAGCAGTTTCTGGGGAGAGGAAACAGGTCTTGGCAGCAGCAGGAGGGACTGAGGTTAGACAGTAGGGAGGACTAGACAAGCAAAGGGCTGGGGACAGTCTGGTTTTCCTACAGACAGTCTGTGAGAGCTTTCATAGGGCCTCTCTGGGCTCCAGTTCCAAGTTGTCCTGCCTCCTGGGACTGTCTTAGTAGAGGAGGCACCTGCCCCCTGGGATCCAGTGTGGGAGTGGGCAGCACTCCTGCCTGAGCCTTAGCGTCCTCCCCACGGAGTGGGACAGCCGCTACACGTGGTTATTGAAGGAGCCCTGAGCACCATGAAGCTCCCAGCAGACATGTGAACACTGGCCTTGTTGTCAACTGGACACTAGGGTATAGCTCCCTGAGGATGCTGACTGTGTTCACCACCAGCCGTGGTAGATGTTCAACAATCAGCTATTAGAGGAATCTGTCACCTGGTTGCCTGTGAGGAGACCAAGGTGTGGAGGGATTGGTGGAAGGCTGCCCAGCTGGTGGGTAGCTGATGTGCTGCCCTGCCTACCACTCCTGGCTTCACCCTTGGGCCTTTGGGCAGCCTAGCTGGAGGGAGACGGTGTGCTCACCTCGGTGCCCGTGTCCTGAGCGAAGTCTTTTCGGCAGACATGAGCCATGATCCCGGCAGCCAGTGCATCACCCAGCACATTAATCATGGTGCGGAAACGGTCCCTGGTGGGCCAAGGTGAGTGGTGAGCGGCAGGCCCTCTGTTGTAAGGGGATATGGGAGAGGGCGGTGCTCACGGGACGGGTGCCTTCCTGGTCCTCCTGGCCCAGCACCCCCTGGCGGTGCTGAAGTGGGTGATGAAGGCATGTGACTGTGTGGTGCCTCAGGGCCTGTGTGTCAAAGGGCTTGGGCTAATGCTCTGCTCCCCCCCTCCTGAAATTCTTTGTAGCTTTTGAACAAGGGATCCTAGGTTTTCACTTTTGAAAACCGGGTTCCACAAGCCATTCAGCTGGGCAGGTGTCAATGAGTACCCACTCTGCCAAACCATGGCAGCTCCCCGGTCCACTGTGAGTGCCTGCCTCCCAGGGGACAGGAGAGGGTGGGGGGAACCCCACTCACAGAGCCCAGTCGACAGCGATGATGAGGGTGATGTCATCGGTGGGAAGCCCCACGGAGGTGAGCACGATGACCATGGTGACGAGCCCGGCCTGGGGGATGCCGGCTGCCCCGATGCTGGCTGCGGTGGCCGTGATGCTGCGAGAGAGGGTAGGGAGCGTTGCTGGGCCCTGAGCCCAAGGAGGAGGCCAGAATGCCAGAGCCTCTGGGGACAGCATTGTGGAGCAGGCATTGTTAGGAATGCCACAGCAGAGCATTCTTGGGGCAGGGGCATGCCTCTGCCCAAGGTCCTGTGGTCCCAGAGGCTCAGCAGAACATCCTAAGAAGTCTGTGGGAAAGCCCTGTGTCTGGGTTTGATCCCTGGGTCAGGAAAATTCCCTGGAGGAGGGCATGGCAACCCACTCCAGTATTCTTGCCTAGAAAATCCCATGGATAGAGGAGCCTGGCAGGCCACTGTCGCTGTAGGATTCCAGGAAGTTGTCCACAGGTTCCCATCATCCTCTGGCACTGGGTCCCCAGGGTGAGACTTGTACCCTCAGGCTGGCTTGTGAGGCCTTCCCCTTCACCTCTGTCCTCACTTAGCACCTTCCCCCAGCTCCAGCCACACCAGCAGCCCCTCCACTGTCCTCAGTCCCGCCTCTGGCCTCTGCTTGCCCTGTGCCTGCCTATGTATGTCCCCACTGCAGGCCCTCCTCTGGGACCTAGCTTCCCAGGTTGCTCAGAGCTCCCTATCTGCAGGGCGGCACTGGGGAAGGAGCCTGGTGCCCTGAATCATGAGACCCCAGCACTGACTTGCTATGTGACCTGGAATGAGCCCCTTGCCCTCTCTGGACCTCAGAGGCCACATGAGATATAGGAGCTCAAGGCTCCCGAAAGCCCTTCCAGAGTAGCCGTCCCCAATCCACAC